AGAAGCGCGTTGGGTTTGATTGAATGGTGGTGTTTGAGGTGGTGTGTTTGGTTGAGGTCGATTTGGACCTTGGTTTTCCGCCATTGCTTCAGATATGCTCTGATACCATGTAGAAAATGAAGAATGGAGGAAGGGTTTTGGAATCCTCAGCTAATTCAGTTGCTGGGTTTCGTTTATTTATACTGGTTCCGGATTTACTGTTTCACAACGGTAACAATGACGTGGTTAAACACCATTCGTCCAAATAACATAAAACAGTTAAAAGGAAACTAATAACTAAAGCGTCATCGTTCTGTTCCTTGCACAGCTCCACTGTAAACGAAACGGCTGCCACTCCGAAACGTTTCAATCAAACTGTTCTTCATCTGAAATCAAACTCTGCAGCATTGGCTCCATCTTCCCTTGAACACTCTGCTCCTGCAGATTCAAATCCACGACACCCTTTCCTTTCTTCTTCATCAATTTTCACTATCCAATTCCTATCTCGATACTTCCAGCTACCCAAACATGATAACTCTACTATCATCCCAACCACCGCGGACAGAGGAGTTAGGCTGCGACCTGCAGAGCACCAGCGGCAGTTAGGTTGAGGTGGGAGCAGCCGGAGAGAAGAATCCCACAGCGATAGCATCGTCCTGGTTGAGGTCGGCGGCGCAGATTGGTTAGTAATTGGATTCAGGGGTAATATTGTCAATTTGATGCATTTTAGGACGATAAAATTTGAATTTTAGGACACCCTTTACCCTACGTTTTTTTTGTTAATTTCTTTTTAAATGAGTACTTTTTTATGACTCATTTGTTTAATGCTATCATTTTCCCTTACATATAATATGTTTGATTTTCTTGTTACTAATCCTAATAAAATCAACCTCTTTGTTCAAGGTATTAAAGATATTATTTTTAAATTGGAATTTGGTGACACAATTTGTGGTAGAATGACACAAATATTGTTTTTTTTTAAATTTACCACCAATATGGCGGATTAAAAAGTATTAACAAAGATATTGTGTTTTGGAGAAAAGAATCGGCGAGACCACCTGAGACTCAGGCGCTGCCGCTTTTGTGGACTTTTTGGTTCGTTTTATTAATGTGACAGCGACGACGCCCAAGATTCAGGTGACACCGCCTGAGACATAGGTGAGTTGGTGGGAAAATTATCCCAGGCGGTGGCGCCCAAGACTAAGGTGGCACCGCTGGCTTATTGGCCACCCCCTTATAAAAACCAGCCAATTTCATTACAGTTTCACACCACAAAAAAAATCGTCCAAGATAGAGAAGAGAGCTCTGGTTGCTGCTGCAAAAATGGCTAACAGGTAAGAGACACATTTATTTTTGTGATTATATTATTCAAATGCTATTATGATTGTGTTTAGTTTTAATTAATGAGTTTGTTTTCTTGTAGTGATTTTAGAAGATTTGAACTAGTCGTTCGGTGGAAATCGGAGAAAGTAGAGGATAATTTGGGCGTCAAATTCGTTGGTGGTAGTAGTTTTCAGATGACGGTTCCATCCAGGGTCACATATCATTATCTTTGTGAGAATCTAATTCCGAGAATACGGCGTAGAGACGAAGCAGTACAAGAAAGTGATGTGATCACAGGTTTCACTCACCGTCTTCCAGAATGGCAAAATGGTGTTTTATTTCATTATGAGATGCCTATTATGGGTGGAGAGGAAGAAGATGATACATGAAGCGTACCATCCGATCATGACTATGATGACGGTGATGACGGAGAGAAGGAAGATGAGGAGGAGGAGGAGGAGGAGGAAGAGGGGGAAGGAGAGCAGCCTAATTATCCTCCATATTTTTACTTGCAGGGTAATGAAGAGGATGAAGAATTATCACTTGCTGATTCATATGGCGTAATTCCAATGCCTATTGTTGATAGTTTTGAAGGAGAATTCTACAAGGGGCAGATATTTCACTCGAAACAAGCTGCACAGATGGCGATTAAACACCACGCACTACAACGCAACTTTCAATATGGCGTAGTGGAGTCGTCACCTTCAATCTGGAAGGTCAGATGCTTGAGGCTCAAGGATGACAATTGTCCTAGGATGGTGCGGTTTGGATGTCGAGATGTTGGAGGCGAATGGACTGTGAGAAAGGCTGAGTTGGTGCATTCTTGTAGCAGTACGACTCAACCGACGGATCATCGCCATCTTGATGTCGACATGATATCTGAGGCCGTCAAACATTTGGTACGTGCCCAACCAAATCTGAGTGTTCTAACTATGCAGGCCGAGTTGAAAGATAATTTTAACATGCAAGTTACTTACAAGAAGGCTTGGTATGGGAAACAAAGAGCATTGGAGAAGTTGCATGGAAATTGGGAAGAATCCTACGATTTTTTGCAAACATTCTTGTGGGTAGTCAAGAGAAAAATGCAAACATCGGTGATTGATTGGGTAAGAGTTTCTTCGACTCAACCAGGTCATTCGATATTTCACCGAGTATTCTGGGCTTATGGACCTATGCTCCATCCTAATGTGCACATGATTAGGAAGCCGGGGAGGCCACGAGTTACAAGAATTCACAACGAGTTGGATTGGTTGGCCAAGGGAGGGTGCATCACACCAAGTGTGTAGCAACTGTAACCAAGCGGGACATAATGCATCAACCTGCGGTGGCCAAGCTAGTGGGAGTGGTGGCCAACGAAGTGCGAGAGGTGGTAGAAGAGGAAGTAGAGGTAATAGACGTGCCTGAGAAGTTTGTTCAAGTGTAGCAGTTGTTGTATTTCTTTCGATTTACCATGTAGAAGTTGTTGTTTGAAGTTGTTGTAGTTTGGTATGTAGTTGTTGTATTTCTTTCGATTAACCATGTAGAAGTTGTTGTTTGAAATTGTTGTAGTTGTTATGGTTTTTATCGTTAATAAAATAATAACATAAAAAAATAATGGTCCACATAATAGTCTCAAGGAAGTACATAATAATAACAATCCAAAAATAATAGTATGCATAATAGTCTCACTGACGACCACCATGCTGCCTCATGCCAAACTGCCTGAGCACGCGGTCTGGATGATGCCACATCACCGATGAAAAGCAGATAAGTGGCACTACTGCTCGAAATGTCTCAGACTGTATCACACTACCTCTGAGTTGAAGTGCTCTCTCAAGGTAAGGTTGCCACTACATAAAAAAATTAACGTTATTATCCCTAAATCTAAAAAAAAAACAAATGAAAACTATTCTACAAAATGGAATGTTATATACTAACCACCACGGTGTCCATCGCGTCAAACCACAGCTTGTACTGGAATAGCTGGTCACCATACTGACGATTGTTGGCCGAAAGCCATCGAAGACCACGTGGGGATGCATCCTCGGAAATATGTGCCCTCGTCTCCGAATGTCGAGGTGCCAGATGTGGGAATCGCTCCCACGCCCAGAACTGTAGTAGGGCGACCCATCCACCAAGGTCACCGCCTAGAGAAGTGCCGGTATGCGTAATGTGCAAAGTCGACCTATCCGTCTCACGGTACAGGTAGGATAAAACAGCAGCTCCCCAGGCGAACCGTCCAGCTCTCTGCCAATCCTCAATCAGAAGTAGGTACTGTAGGTGCACCGTAGCTCCAGACCGATCTGGGAAAAGTACACCTCCCATCAGAGATAGAGCATAAGCTCGTGCAAACTGCTCTATAACCTCCTGTGATGCATTTCCCGGCAGATGACTGAATTCATCCCTCAGCCAAACATTCCTAACGACACCGACACCGCCTGAAAGATCAGCCGGAACCCGTCCTAACAGTCTCAAACAGATCGCCGACCACTCCTCATCCGGTATATCAACTACGACGGCATCACCGTCGATCGCTAGACCGGACAGTGTAACAACGTCCTCTAACGTGATCGTGATCTCACCAAACGGTATATGGAAGGTCGACGACTTGGGTCGCCACCGCTCTACGAGCGCAGTAATCAAACTCGCATCGGAGTTCATAGGGACTAGGGGCATGACACTTAACAAGCCTGCCGCTTCGAGATATGGCCGATAAAGCTCATGGTACGTCACTAAACTTGTTGTACCTCGAACATGGTAAGATCGATCACCAGCCTATAGTGCACAAAACTTATATTAATTCATTTTCATTCGTAATAATTCTAATTTCACCTAATAAGTTCTAATCTATCTAATCTAATCTCAAATTATACTAATTTCAAAAAATTTGATACGTAATCCTATTCTAATTTCAGTACAGTTCAGTTCACCAACTAAAATAATCTAATTAGCTAAACTTTACATGAATAATTATCAAATACTTACCTCGTTTGTCCAAACAGAATCGATACGATGTTGGCCATGTTCCCAAAGAAGTGCCGGATCGACCGGACCTGGATCAATTGTCGCTGGCGTTAATCTCATCGAATAAGGGTCCATAAGCCTAGGAACTGCAAAAACAAACAAAGCAACAAAACATTAATTAAAAAAAACACTAAACATTAAAAAAAACCAAGTTGCCGGCGAGATTCCGGCCATCGCCACGCGAGAGTCTCACCGCGTAAACGGCCGCCGACTCCACCACAACCTCGCCGGCCTCTCCCTCTGCCTCTGCCGGCGACTGGTTCTTCGTCGGAGGACATCACTGTCGGGCGGAGGTGGTGGAGGGAGGAAGGAAGAAGAAGATAAGAGATGATGGGTAGGGTTCGTCGATTTTAAAAAAAAAAAGAGGGTGGCGGGGCCGCTGGAGACTTGGGCGCCAGCGCCCAGGACTGGGTAAAATATAAAGTAACCGCGGCCTCGCCTAAGTCTCTGGTGGCCCCGCACCAAACTTGACTATAAAACACAATATTTGTGTCAATTCTTTTTAATCCGCAAAATTTGTGACAAATTAAAAAAAAACACAATATTTGTGTCATTAATCCACGATTTGTAATATAGACAAAAAGCAGACAAATATTTATTTTGATACTTGTTAGTTATCAAAAGTATAAGGTATCGATTTGTTAGTTACCTCAAATATAAGTGACTGTTTGGTCAATTGACCCTGTGCTTTGGTAATTGCCTAATTGGTATGTATGTCACAGACGAATCGGGTTGTCCTCTCATCCTTATCCGCCGGCGTCAATTGACCCAGTGATTTTGCAGAGACTCAAACGGCGAGTAAGAAAGGACGACTCAGAACACAAGTAGTGCGGAAGAACTGAAAAAATAGCGACAGAGGATAAAACAGAACCGCACTTTCTGATGCTGCGACTTAAAGAAAAATGAGTGGCTGAATGTGACCAGAAATGGCTACTGCTGCTCTCACCGTTACCGCCTCTTCTTCTTCTCCTCCTCCTCTGTCTCCTTACGCCTTTCGGCCATCCACCGTCACCATCGTTCACAATCACGCTTCTTCTCCGCCTTCGGTGGCCCGAATTCCGGCGAATTTAGAGGTTATTAGCTCGCCTGCGGGCAGGAGTAGGCTAGGGTTGGCTCTTCGTACTCATGCTGCAATATCAGCACAAGGCCACCAAGGTGCATTGCTCTCTCAATCCGTCCTTTGAGTATCGATTGGTCCTATGGCTTTTAACCTGTTCAGTTTTTGCCTTTGCTTGTCAATGTTCAGGCACATCTGATCCTGAGCTACGCTCGGTTCTTGAACTCGCTACAAACTCCGAGTTGCGCGAGCTGGACAAGGTTTTATTCGGACCAAGGTCATTCCTTTTGAATTTTGTCTTTCAGTTCCAGCTTGCTGTGAAGTGTGACAGTCTCTCATTACTTTAACTCGATGATATTTCAATGCTGAATCGTCCTTTCATGTACAGTTACTTCAGTCCTCTGTTGAAATCTGTGATGAAGAGACCCGAAGTCGATTATATGATGATTGCGGAAGACCTCGCGGAGCGAGAGGACTTCATTGCTGCTCTTGAATCGCGGTTTCTATTCCTTGCTGCCGATGCCCGCTCCACTTTGAGGTTAGTGAATTTGATTGTGATCTTGCTTTTCTGAGTTGCGACATTGCTATTCTTGATGATTGCGTTGCTAGACGCTGACATTAGGATTGAACCAATGATGGTTATGTCACTGATTGGCTTTCCAAGCTTTAGCATTTTCAGCTGCCTGCGATGTTAGGTCTTATCATGGCCACGTTGCTCCTTATTAGGCAATATGACGGAGCCAATGTTCGGTTTCTGACATCTTCTATTGGTGTTCTTGTGGAAGGGGTTGGAGGCCTTCATATAGAGACGTGTTGCTGAAAGTGAGGAAGAAGTTAAGTGTCTCTTGCTCAACCAAGTTGTCAACCGAAGATCTAGAAGCAGAAGTTTTTCTTCATCTGGTTAACAATTTTGCAAGGTAAGCGTTTTCTGTTGAAGAAAGTAAATGTTTGTTATAATTATTGACCGAGATGAAGATTAAGATTAATATACTTTACACTATTTCAAGTAAACTCAAGAAAGTTCAAGGAGAGAACTGGTCATTGGAATGAACCACACGGATTGCTGAGATTAGAAGAAACTGGATATAAAAAGCTAAAAAAGAAGAGAAATGTGCTTTGGTTTTAAATCTGAACAGCCCGTTACTTCTCCTGCAGTGAAGAATCAGGAACTTTTCCAGGTTTGTGGGAATTATCGAAGCCTTTGGATAGCGAAGGGGGTGTAGAACTTGGATTGGATCAATGGAAGGTGCAAGGGCTTGGTGCTCTGAAGCATGTGGTAGAAGAGCTCCAGCCAATTATCTTGAAGGTCTTTCCATCTTGTGCTTGCGTTCCACAGATATATTGCTCCCATATTGGTACTTTTGATATGTTCATTCCCCTACATCTCACTTTCTTTTATGGTCGGACAGGGTGGTAGTGCTCTTACATTGTCAAAAGTTTATCAATCGGTAAGGTTTAAACATTTTCTTACTTCGAGATGCATCCTTGGCATTATTTCACGATTCATAGCTATTTTGCTTTGTGCTAGATAGCTGGTAAATTAATGGGCAAGGTGGTTCTGGATGCTGCCAACTATCAAATAAAAAAGGAAGTCTTAAAGAAGGTGTGTTCTCAGCATTAACTTACCTAGAAAGCATTTTAAAACTAGGAATGTGCTGGTCAATGTTACCGTTTCATCAGTGTGAATCTGAATATATTTAGCAATCACCTGGTTTTGGAAGTTTGCTTTCTATCAGGCTACAACTTTGATACATCTCTCTACATTTAACGAAATGCTACAATTAGATAAGAAATTAATAAGGTTCCCCTCATTTATCGATTCACAGGGTGGACAATTAGCTGCAATGAATTTGGAATCTAGAGCAGCCTTGATTATGGCAAAGCGGGTAACATTTGTTATGTTAATTTCCTTAGATTTTTTGTACCAATATTTACCATACAATTTGTTGAATTAATGTTCCGTGAATCTTTCCTTTAAAAATGTTATGTGAATCTTATAAGCAATAGAATCATAGGTCTAGTCTTCTAGACAAATCGTTTGCTGTGTGCTTGTCAAAGTTTGTGCTCAGTATCCCCTTTGGTTGGACTATTTCCTTGCGGAAGACTTCAATGTCTTCTGCATTCTGATTTCTGTTGTTGTACTTAATTAGTTGGTGCATATCTTCTCGATCTAATATGCCGAACCATTCACAGGGTTTGGCTGGAACTGCATCAAGATATCTGGGCCTTAGAAGCATGATGACATTCCTTGGCCCAGTGTACGTGAAAGTATTCTTCTTTCACCTAGTGTTTGTTTGTCAGGTTTAAGTTGTACGGAAAAAAACTCTGTTGGCGATTCCCTGTAGAAACTGACTATGAAATTTCATGTTTTCTCTTAAATTGCTTGCTTAATTAACATCATCCAGAGAAATGTGAGAATGTTCTGTTGCTTTGATCTGAATTGCTGGCTGTCTTAAATACAGGATGTGGGGAACCTTGCTAGCTGATGTCGTCATTCAGATGCTTGGCACCGATTATGCTAGAGTCCTGCCAGCAATTTACGCATTTGCACAGGTACTCGCAGTTAAATTTAGGAATCTGTTTTTAACTCAGGCTGTCTGATTAGTTCACGGAATACAAGAATCATCCCCTAATTGCTTGAAAATGCTGTTCTGACTCGGGCTGTCTGATCTGCTTTGACTCAGGCTGTCTTATTCCTTTTTGGTCTCTGTATTGGTTCTAAAGAATGCTGTTTTCTTTCTTTAGATTCGTCTCACCCGCACGTACAGGCCACAGAAAGATGGTAAACAATGCAGAGGTCAACCATTATAAGAACGTCAGATTCACAGATCGGACAATCGAATCAAATGTGGTGCCCATTTCCCAGATATGCTTTGCGCTCTGAACATGCCAATCTTCAGGATACCTGAGAAATTAGTATCTTGGCGAGATTTCCGTCTGGAACTGGAGCTATGGTTTCTGCGGTCTAACCGGTTCGGGAATCAGAGTCTACTTCTTTGTGGTTTGTGGGTTGTACGAGGGCACCATTTCTGGCTGGTGGTGGGACTGGATCCACAGCCACCATGCAGGGAATTGGTGATGATGTTTCTTGCTTTCTTGTATTTATCCAGAAGGATGGTGAATGTGTATAGTTCCTCTCCTGTGGTGAATCCGGCCGACAGCTTACGCCAGAAAAGCCAAGGATTGTAATTTCTTTGATCTCTCAGAGTAACTTCCATTTTTATGCGACGCCCTGCAAGAGCTTTTTGACAGGTTTGGGCGGACAGCCAAAGCCAAGTCACAAATCAACCGATTATGTGGTGATTCCAAGTTCGTGACTTGAAGTAAACAGCCAATCACTTCAGAAAGCGGTCTAATAGATAACAAATTTATCTTCTTGCAATGGGATTCCAGCACTTCAAAGGAAATGAACAATCAACCTCTTTTAATAGGAACGTTTGGATTTGTATTACACAAAATTTGGAGGTCGACAGGATAACAAAATAGTTGACCATTATATTGAAAAAGTTGACATCTCGGTTTGGAGGTTGATTGAATTGAAGAAGACATGAACACACCAACAGGATTGCTATACCGATTGATCCCTTTTCATACATGGGTTTTTAGTGAATATATAATCAACATACCTGGTGCTTGGTTCGATCAGTCTATATGTTGTGTTGGTAAACTAGTTTTGAGAAACTGAATGTCTAGTAGTAAACACACTTCACAATAGTTCATAAATACCTCAAATAAAAAACCATAGCATATAAGTTTAATTCACAAATATAAAGGGTTAAAGACACATTTGGTCACTGAGATTACAAAATCGGGACAGATTTAGTCACTAGAAAAAGTTAATATCAAATTTGATCACTACAATTACTAAAACTGGACACATTTAGTCACTCGCCGTTAGTCTCCTTCCAACTCCGTTAATGAAGTCCGTTAAGTGTTGATGTGGCAAACAGAATTGCCTAATCAGCCGGATATAACCCAATAAAAATAAAACCCGACCCGCCACGTCATTATAACCCGCCACGTCATTAAAACCAACCCAACCCAACCCATGACCCAACCCCACCCAACCCCTTCTTCCTCCTTCCTCCCAACCCCACGTCATTATAACCCGCCACGTCATTAAATAAAATTCATAATATTATTCACGGAGACACTTTATCTCTCTCCTCTCGTTCTTCCGAATTGTTGACACTAAAATTCTAGTGCTTGAATGTTGTCGATACACGTGTTTCCCACTAGAGGACCAAAATTCATCTTACAACTCATTTACAGCCACATGAAATATGCTTATCTGGTTGGGTATCTACCCATATAATTAATCATATCATTCATGCAATTGCATATATCGTTGAGGGTTATTTGTGGAGTTAGATTATGTGGTTGAGCCATTGGCTCATCCCCGACCTATCCATCAAGCTCCTGCTCACTGTCAAGTACATTATTAGGTCATATATACACACCATCTTGCTCGGTGATGAAATTGTATAGCGTTCTTGACTTTTAACTCATAAACAAACCTCGCCACTTACAATCCACTAGTTTTTTGCCCGCATTTCGTGGCAGTAAGAAACCAATTTTATTTAAAAAATTTATTCACTCATTTATTGATTTAGTTGAAAACAATAATTACATTATCATTCGCTTAAGATATTTTCATAAGGTTTATAAAGTGTCTTAATCATTATGCACTATTTATGCCATAATGATTACACTTATTTAATTTATACAATAATTAGTTGAAAACAAATATTTAGTTGAAAACAATAATTAAAATTATTTAATTTATACATTAGAAATCACTATCCCTTTATAAAATTTGTGTATTTACGTAGGATCTTAATAATTATGTTTGTTTAATAACCATGCAATAATTGTACCTCCATAGAAGTCACTGTTGCATACGATTTTTTCTCCATTAATTCACTATTCATTATGAGATCCTATATTGTGTAGATGATAAAAAAATCAAGTTATGAAAATTATCACATTCGATTAAAATATTATGTAGAAGTTATTTGACCTTACAAAATCTTTGCATAATGCAAATTATGAGATGATCAATGCTGTTAAAATCGAGATTTTACCTAAAATCGAAAACTAAGGTAAAATGAGTATCTTAAATCGTAGGATAGTACCATATATATCATATAATAATTTTAATAACATAAAAACACATAATATTTAAAATAATGATTATCAAGATTAAGAGAGGCACCCAGAAAACTTCCCGGAAATAAAAACATATATAGAGGCACCACTTACACATAACATATCATAAACCGAATTTTGCATCCCACATAAGTTTAGAAAGTTTACTTTTTTCCAAGGAAGCCAAAAAATTTAATTCAGTTGGACCCAAAAGTAACAGAAAAATTGAATCAATTGTAAAATTTGAAGACAAAAAAAGGGAGGAAGGCATAAGGTAATTAAACAAAGCGCTGGTAATCCCGAAATGAAGATTGAAGAAGGTGAGGGAAATGGAATGATGTACATTAAGCCGAAAATTTTTATTTTGATACCTACCGATAAGTTTAAGGATGAAAAACATAATGGTGCAACCGGAAGTCGACTTAGATGGTTTATTTGCAACTAAATAAATTTAAGTGGTTAGTATGCAACGACACCAATACTTACGTGGTACCCTGTGCAATTAACCCTAGAATGTGAAAGAAAATGTACATGAAATATATAAGATGATGCGACTAGATATTGAAGCTATCGATTAGAGCAAATTAGAGAAAATATTCCAGTCCTACTATGACCTGTAGTCAGATCGCCACAGGGCACATTCCTTTAACACAACTTCCAAAACATCACTAGATTGAAGGGAAGCCATTAACAGGTCGTACTTCGTCCAGAGATGGAGACACTCTTGATAGAAGCCCCTTACATAACGATCCCCTTGTGTCAAGCGACTAATCTGCAACTCTAAATCATATTATTGGGAGGAGGAGTTATGAGAATGACTGCTGCAAATAGACGTCCACATCTCATGAGCAATGGTAAAACGACAAAGAGAAAGAGCCGTCAGGACATCGATGCATCAAACAACCATGTCACAATCTCAGCATTATTCGCCGCCAAATCACTCAACTCCTTAGTCGTAGCACCAGCCGCAGGAGTCTTCACCTCACCTGTCAACACGGGTAACGAACGTTTCCCAGTCACAAATTTCCTGAATTGGAACTCCCATGAAGTAAAGTTCTTTCCATCGAAATTCGTCGTAGCCATATTCAGCTTTGCCGGATCCATAATGGCAGTCAATTGATACCAAAAAGAGGGCACCAAACAAATACAGCAACAAGAGCAATCCAATGACAAGAACTCAACCAAGCTGCAAGAACAAACGGAGACAAGCAGCAAGGACAAAGCAAAGATGAGCCAAGAAACTTCTCACCTTGCACGAGCACCCAACTCCACAAACAAAGCAGCAACACGCACGTTGTCGAATCAACACCACCCAATCTAAGCCCGAGGCTCTAATACCATGTTAAAATATGCAAGAAAATATAGACGACACCAAGGTTTTGAATGACAAAACTTTTAATGTCCACAATTTAAAAAAATTTATCAAAATATTTGTTTTAATGAATTATTAATGTCTATATAAAAATAATAATAAATTATCTAATTAAAATGATGAAATCTACACTCGATTAGATTAAGAGTGAAAGTTAAAATTTGGCACTTTAGTATTCTACATTGCTTAGTAGAGTAAAATTCATTTTGGTGGGGCTAAAATGCCAAAATCTACCCAAAATTTAAAACTTTGACATTCACTATTGGAGATGTTCCGAGAATAGAGAGATTAGTAATTGAATATGCTAAAAAATTACTGAATTTCAATACTTCCTGAGTTCAAAGAAAAAACAAGAAGTTTGTAGAATGTGAACAAAAAAGTACATGAAATATATAAGATGATGCGACTAGATATTGAAGCTATCGATTAGAGAAAATTAGAGAATATATTCCAGTCCTACTATGACCTGCAGTCTGGTCGCCACAGGGCACGTTCCTTTAATACAACTGCCAAAACATCACCAGACAGAAGGGAAGCCGTTAACAGGTCGTACTCTGTCCAGAGATGGAGACACTCTTGATTGAAGCCCCTTACATCACGATCCCCATGTGTCAAGCGACTAATCTGCAACTCTAAATCATATTATTGGGAGGCGGAGTTATGAGAATGACTACTGCAAATAGACTTCCACATCTCATGAGCAGTGGTAAAACGACAAAGTTAAAGAGCCGTCGGAACATCGACGCAGCCAACAACCATGTCACAATCTCAGCATTATCCGCCACCCAATCATTCAACTCCTTAGTCGTAGCACCAGCCGCAGGAGCCTTCACCTCACCTGTTAACACAGGTAACAAACGTTTCCTAGTCACAAAGTTCCTGAATTGGAACTCCCATGAAGTAAAGTTCTTTCCATCGAAATTCGTCGTAGCCATATCCGGCTTTGCCGGATCCATAATGCCAGTCAATTGATACCAATAAGAGGGCACCCAACAAATACAGCAACAAGAGCAATCCAATGACATCAACTCAACCAAGCTGCAAGAACAAATGGAGACAAGCGGCAAGGACGGAGCAAAGATGAGCCAAGAAACTTCTCACCTTGCACGAGCACCCAACTCCACAAACAAAGCAGCACACGCACGTTGTCGAATCAACATCACCCAATCTAAGCCCGAGGCTCTGATACCATGTTAAAATACGCAAGAAAAGAAGACGACACCAAGGTTTTGAATGACAAAACTTCTGATGTCCATACTTTAAAAAATTATATCAAAATATTTGTTTTAATTAATTATTAATGTCTATATAAAAATAAAAATAAATTATCTAATTAAAATGATGAAATCTACACTAAATCAGATTAAGAGTGAAAGTTAAAATTTGGCACTTTACATACGTTTGGTATAAATGAATTCCATAAGTTTTGAGGAATTCATTTGGAAATGAAATATTTTTGTGTTTGGTATTTAAAAGAATTCATTTTCAATTCTAAATTTTGAATTCTATGGAATTGGAACTAGTTATAGCAATTTCGAGGAATTGAGATGGAATTTCCAAATGAATTCCACAAGTATTTACTAATTATAATAGAATGACATAATTATCTTCTTTTATTAACTAAATTACTTATACAAATGACATACCTAACACAAGAATTCATTTGACAATGAATTCTACACTGCAATTCATTTTATTTCTAAATATTTGAATATGACATACCAAACACAAGATTTCATTTGACAATGAATTCTACATGGTAATTCATTTCACAATGAAATGAATTCTCGATTCATTTGTTACCAAACGGTCTATTAGTATTCTACACTGCTTATTAGAGTAAAATTCATTTTGGTGGGGCTAAAATGCTAAAATCTACCCAAATTTTAGAACTTTTGACATTCCCTTGTTCTGAGAATAGAGAGTTTAGTAATTGAATATGCTAAAAAATTACTGAATTTTAATACTTCCTGAGTTTTAAGAAAAAACAACAAGTTCGTAGAATGTGAAAGAAAATGTACATGAAATATATAAGATGATGCAACTAGATATTGAAACTATGGATTAGAGCAAATTAGAGAATATATTCCCGTCCTACTATGACATGTAGTCAGGTCGCCACAGGGCAGGAGAAAATAGGTGCTAGATGATTTCCAGAGCGAAGAAAGACTCATATGGCGTTAGCTTGTCAAAAGACCTCCACTCCTTGACAATTCCTAGTATAAACATTAATTTAACCGATTGGAGCTCAACAAAGAACAAACCCAAAGTCAACAAGGGAATCCACTCAAGGGCAGCTCTTCCTTGCCTTTTCCAATTTGGTATCAGCCTTCCAAATGCGATGCAATTGAAAACAATGAAATGCAAAATTTGGTGCCTAGGCAACTAAGGACAATATTCATCCAGAGAACAGAACAACGCTGGTTGTCGCAACAAAAACTGATGGGAGCATCTCCAACTGTCCAATCTTGGAGCTAACTAAAGACACTGAAACCTCAGCCCTCAGTCTCACTACAATAATGTTCTTTCATTGGGTATATCACCAAAATTGGAACACTTCTTCTCATGTCCTCCTTGGAAATCTTCCACACATGCGAATCCAGAAACGACAGCTCTACAATGGCCTTGCAGGCTGTATATAAACTGGTAGTCATCGTCCCACTGAACAATCACTGTAACTAAAAAGGAACAAAAGAAACCCAGTTGAGAGAGAGCAAGGAGACGATTACATTACATACCTATCTTTTCAAAACCCAAAATGGCTTCACAACGCCAATGGACCGTCGTCCTGGTTCTGAGGCTCAGCACTCTGTTCATTCTGGTAGCCTCTGTTCTTGTTCTGGTCTTCAACACCGTTAAAGTCCCCTTCGATGTCAGGAACTTATCCCTCAACGAGTTCAATCCCACCAAGCTCACTTTCAAAGACCTCATCGCTTTCAAGTACAGAAAATTTACAGTTTTACACCTTATGGTATTTTTTTTTCTTCTTCCAAATTTCAGGTCAATATTGTACCCATCATTTCCCCCTCCTGTGGATTTAATGCAGGTACTTGCTTGCTGTTGCCATTATCGGAGCGGTCTACACGATTGTTCAGCTGCCTTTGGCAATCTACCACGTAGCCACCGGAAAGAGGCTGTCCCGTAAAGAATGCATGCCAGAGTTCGATTTCTATGGCGACAAGCTGGTGAGCTACCTGCTGGCGACGGCGGTGGGAGCTGGGTTCCTGGTGTGCGCGGATCTGAAGGTGAACCTGGATAAGATGCTTAAGACGCTTGAAGATGCAAACACAGCTGGGCTGGGTGATTCCAGGGAGAACTACGACAAGTTCTTCAATATGGGGTTCTTAGCCACCACGCTGCTTTTCTTGGCTTTTGTTTGCATGGCTGTCGTCTCCGTGCTCTCTTCGATTAACCGCAACCACGATAGAACTAGGTCCATCTTTGGCTGAGAGTCTAACGATCTCTTGAACAGAGGCATACAGAGTTGGATCAGGCATAAGTCTAGGTTCTTCCTGGGACTTGAGATGCTTTACATTTAATTTTTCCTTCCTGCAGCAGTGGCTTTAAACATTCCATTTCAGTTTGTTCCTTACAATGCAAGATTTGAATTGTAGGTTCTTCATTACCATTTTTTCTTTCTTGGTATTGTATTTTCTTGATTAATGAAATAATAAGAAAAGAGAAGAATTTGTTCAGGATTAGGGAAGGACGAGCATGACTGCTGATTAGACATTACAGACAACAACGTATCAGCTTGCATTACAACATACCTCTATATGACAATGTACAATGATCAGATTGCACAGAAACAGTTTCCCGAAGCTCGAACATGGCTCCAGCCCCAATTCCTTTTCTGGCTTTTCTGATCAACCCAAAGCTGATCCTCTTAGTTCAAGCGACAACAAATTTACTTCAGAGGTAGGCAAGTAGGAATTTAATATGGGCAGAGGAAGAAGACATGAAGGTCAGGGTTCTGGAAAGTGAAGATATGGAATCTAAAGCCACTTTCAGCATCTTCTGTGGACAACCTGGTCTCGCCATCTCTTTTACCTGAGACCAACCATCCAATTGAAATCGTCGCAGCTGCTGCTTCAGCTTCCTGGGTAACTGACAATCACAAATGGTGAAGCTTACTACACCTACATAAAACCGGATTCCCATTTAAGGGTACCTATAAAGAATGAAGACCAGCAGCATTGAAGAAGTGCAAAGATTCTAAAGAAACGATGGTCCGTGGCATCGGCATTGGATCCTTCCTTTCTAGTCTATTTCTATACTTTATAGTTTCTTGGGAAAATGGCAAACCAGATGATCTACCAGTTGCTAGATTCTTAGACAGTGTAGTAGTTTGTCTACCACATTACAGGAGTAAAAGACTGACCAATTGCGATGAAAAATATAAACTGTCGATTCCATAAAGGGTTGTTTTTGCTTCCCTGTCCATACCCTGGTCACCAAATTCTAGTTTCCCACTTGTACAATTCCAAAGCGTATTTGCCAGCTACCATTCTCAACAACGTTTCTCAGCCCAATGTTCAGTCGATCATAAACTAAACAACGGAGAAAAGATTCAAACTTTATTTCCTCCCCTAAAACCTTTCTTTCATCCCCCTATTAGTAAGAATCGTTTTGAAACTTCAACAGGAAGGAGATTTCAGAGAACCCAGAAAGAAAATGAAGCTAAAATGATCAAACGGTGGAGAGGCTTGAGTACCTTCTACGAATCAGTGGGCACTTCCAAATTCAACAACAGAATTTGGAGCTGCGGATACATATTGGTGACAGTCGTGAGAGAAAAACAAATAGCGGCCAGCGGTGGCGGGAGGGAGGGACCAATTCGTTCCCCGGCGAGGCTACGAACGGAACTGAAAGGAACCTGAATCTAATAGGAATCCTCCCCTGTTCGCTTTTTTATGTCTGACTAGATAATTGGCCCGAGCGTTGCTTCGGGATTTTGTACAATTTTATTTTTGAGATTTTTGTATGTGTTGTGATATTTAGTTTTGTAAATGAACATTTTATACTTATGGTCTAAATCATTTAAGGACGAAATTATTTAATATAGCGAACCATGCAATGTTTAATTTATAAAAGTTGGTCGTCATGTGTCTTTTTTACTTCTCTGATACATTTCAAATTCGAATGCGTTGTAACTAATAAAATATTATTAAATGCTTAGTCTATAAATATGCTACACAAATGCTAAACTATGATAGTTCTTTTTAAGTAAGACTCAAAATACATATTTACATGATAATTACTTAATGAGTTTATACTTTTCCTAACTTCGCCTTGATATTTTTTTAATAGAAGACTATCTATTACTTTAAATTTGGATAACATGTGTCATTCTACAAATATTGTGTAAAAGTATACCTATTATTTTCTTAATGTTAATCACTTAATCTTAATCCACAAATCCTCTTTCCTCTTCCTAATGGCATAACTTCATAAGTTCCATTCTCTTGCATTATTCACCAAGACCAATGACTTCCCACTACACGTGGATAAGATGAATAATTGATGGCAACAAATGTCACTTGATTAGTTCCATAACCTTTTCTCTTGTCCACTGTTGTTCTCCTTGTTGTCATTTTGCAGATTGCAACTCCATTCCCATGCAGTTCTCTTTTAATCACTTCTAAGTCTCCCTGCCTTCAAAAAATTAGTAGCTTACCCTTGATCTCTTTTATTGAGATTAAATCCATAACTTCGATCACCTCCCAACTTGTACCTGATTGGCAGCATCAAGAGTTCTAAATGAATTAAAGAGAGAATACTTGCTCCTGGTCCCTATCCTCTTCATCTTCCTGTCAAACTTGTCGGCCAACTTGTGGGGGTTTCTTCAAATTACTCTCTTCTTCTAATTACTTGCCCTCTTTTTATGATTACGCAATCCCATCTGCAAGAAAACAGAGTGCCCATAGTTCGCAATTATCCACAATGTCTATTGAAAAGCTTTTGGGGAAGGGACTATGAAGCGGCTGGAAAATTCATTATTCAACGACGACAGTCAATTAATTGAACATGCAACCCACTGAAGAGTTAAGGGATCGATTGGAATCGGTGACGGCCGTGAAACCTTCGAATTGCCCTTCTCTTCCCCTGCCTCGCTGATTCTATGATATCTTCGATAATTATTGCCAGAACTGTTGGGTGGCTGTTGCCGTTTGGGGAGGAGGTTGCGTCAAAGTAAAGAGGCACAGAGCGGCAGAAGGAGTGGAACGCCGGCGCTTCGATTCACCGGGTCCAAGGGATCGACAAAATCCATATCGGGCCCTAGGAATCTTGCCGCTTCGTTGTTCCGGAGGTACCGCTGCGATTGTCGAATAGTCCATCTAACGGAACGCCGGGGCAGAGGGGGGAGAATGGGTTGCCGGCGCTTCGAGCTGGGGAGAACAGGACATCGATCCACGGAGGGGCAGAAGGAATGGGGTAAAGGGGATGAAAATCGAAATTAATTGCTTCTTCGATATTGGTGTCTGGCTTTCTCCGCTTGCTTCTTCCAGATCCAACCCTTCTCTGCTTACAATCATCACTCGATTCCACCGGGAAGGGAAACAACTTGCGTAGCCGCCAGGCAGTCTACGCGGGGATCAAAGTAAGAAACGGTGGGGAAAAGGGCCACAGAAGGCTTACGGTACACCCGACCGTAGCCTACTGGACCCCTTAAGTATGCTTGCGGCTTTATTATACTAATAGTGATAGGCTATCGTCACTATGGGCCTCGTCTTAAGTCGATACTCGATAATTTAGTTTGATATTGGCCCAGAGTTTATAAGTGAGGGTCATATGACTCGTATTAAAGTGAAAACTGAAAAGGTTTGGTTTTTTTTTTTGGCAAAATACACATAATAGCCTTTTTGTGAAAAATACACAAAATGTTTAATTCCGTTCAATACATTGACGGAGTCATCTTTGACGCTGATTGGAGTCATGTTCTGATGATGTGGCGACATTTTGGGATTTTTCCACAAATATCACTAAAAAAAATAAAATTCCAAAAATACCACCTTTTTCCGAAAATCGCTTGGGGATGGCGCGGTATTTGATGAAAACCGCATTGACATGGAACGGTCTGATAAACCGCGTCGGGACGCAGCAGTTTACATGCAAACTGCATGCCCCCCTACGGTTTGTATGTATATAACTTGTTTTCGTGAACACAAAACAATAAATTTAGATTATTTTTCGTGAATAAAAAATAATAACCAATGGCTCTGATTCATCGAAATATATTGAAGTGCAAAAACCAAGTGTGAACACAGGCGTACACTAGCCTACTGTATGCCCGTTGAGTTTTTCTATTTAGACAATGAATTAACAGGAGTTTGAGGCATGATACTACTATGCCCTAACTCCTAATGCATGAATCTCAGTCCCCCCAAAGCATGAGATTCGTTTAGTCTTGAAAAGAAAATCAGCAATTCTTATTACTCGAAATTATCAATGATTTTCATTTTAAGATTGAACCAATCTCATGGTTTGGGTTAGAAAATTAGGGACTAGGGTTCACCCAGTATAAGTAAGGGTATAGTATCATGCCCCAAAATCCGGTCAATTCATGATCTAAATAGCAAAACTCAACGGGGCGTATGGTAGATTGCCGTACGTTAGCCTTTGCCATATATATATGGTGGCGTCTTTGGTGCACCCACTTTTTGGGTGCATTCAATGAACTCGCCTCATAATCGTTATTTCTAGCATGCAATTCATGTCAAAACGGTATCAATCATCGCTTATGATATTATGACAAGAAACACATGAATTTTCAAAAAGCTCATTCAAGATTTACTTTAATTTGAAGGATTTAAGATTTAGGATTTAGGGTTAGGGTTTAGATTTACAATTTGGGGGTTTGGGTTGGAATTCAAAACTGAAGGTTAAATGGTTAGAAAAATGGATTGATTAGTTATGATTCTATATTATATCATCATATTAGATCAATTTTACCAATTACATTTAAGAGTTTGATGTATTGTCGTCACTTTTAGAGTTGATCAATGCACCCAAAAAAGTGAGTGCACCGAAGTAGCCGCCAATATATATATATATATATGGCAAAGGCTAGCGTACGCCCGGGCGTACCTTAGTCTACCGTACGCCCGTTGAGTTTTACTATTTAGATCATGAATTAACCGGAGTTTTTGGCATGATACTATACCCTAACCTCTAATGGATAAACCCCAGTCCTTAATTTTCTAACCCAACTCATGAGATTCATTTAAGTGACGTCTTCGGTGCACTCACTTTTTTGGGTGCATTCAGTGCACCCGCTTCATAACCGTCATTTTAAACATGCGATTTATGTCAAAATGATGTCAATCATCACTTATGATGTGATGAACAATAACGCACATGAATTTGCACAAAAAACCATTAAAGATTTACTTTAATTTGAAGGATTAGAGTTTAGAGATTTAGGATTAGGGTTAGGGTTTATAATTTGGTGTTTACGGATAGAACTCAAAAGTGAAGGTCTAGGGCTTAGGGTTATCCACTAATCAGTTGTTATCATATGTTATATCATCATATTACACTAATTCTACATCTTAAAATTCAAAATTTGACACCTTAAGACTAGTTTTTGAGTTGGGTGCATTGAACGCACTCATTTTTGTGAGTGCACCGAAGTAGTCACCATATATATATATATATATATATATATATATATATATATATATGTGGGTCACACTCGTATGCGACAGGATCTATGCACCGTTGATCTAATCTAACGGCATTGATTAATGCTAATTAAATTATTTATTATTTACAATATTAAAATAATTAGTTAGTCTCATTATTTTTTCATACGTACTATTTAGTACCTATACATATTTTTCATTTCCTTTTATATTTTGTACCTAATTTTCTTCTAATTGTAACTTAAACACCCATTGTTTGTCCATCAAATTGTATTTTCTATCTTCTATCTCTTCACATTGTAAAATTGACGAAATCACCTCCTTCCCCATTGACCCATCATCACGTCCCCCTAGCCATCGCAAATCCCCAGATTTGCTTACATCTGGTCCTCTCTCTGTATATTGATCCGTTTGGGGATTAAATAAGAGACACTACCAAAACGGAGAAGAAAGGTCACTGCCGAAACGCCTCCACAGAAAATCTATGGCGTTGCCCTAACATTTTCATCGGATCCATGATGCCGAAACGCGTCCTCTTGTACCTGATCTTCGTCCGAGATAGAGTCCAACATCGCGATGGTTGGCTTGTTAGGCTCGAGTGCTCCGCCACGCAAAGCTGAGATTGTGGAGGAGGATGAACCGGATATTTGTGCTGCAGCTGCCGATGATAACAACGCCTAGGAGACTGATGAGCCCGAAGGAAAAATTCTACAAGTTTGAAAAGGTATGAAACTCCATCCCTTCTTCTATTTTGGGTTTCTTTGCGCTGATTCCTATCCGTATGCCTTCTTCTATTTTGGGTTTCATTGCTCTGATTCCTATTTGTTATTTGCGTAATGAACAATGTTACTGGCAGCTCGCTAAGGCCGGAGCCAAGCTTCATCGCATCGCTAAGAAAGTGGTCGTACTTGTGCTTCCTGCAGTTGGCCAGCTTCTTCGCAATAGCCGGGAGAAAAATAAGGTTTAATCACTGGTTTGATGTTGGTGAAGCAGCGATGGAGGTCGATGGTGATTGAGCTAATAATCGAAGACGACGCTGCCCTTGTATCATAGACGAAATTAGGGTTCACATCTAGTTCCTCATATATCTCCCCTGCGTAAGATTGTGATTTCGCTCTGTTTTTCTATCTGTTTCGATCGAATATTTCCTTTTTAGATCTGCGATTTTAGGTTTTCTATAGTGATGAGTATAAAATCTTCTGTGTTTCATGTCGATTATGGATCTTACTATCAGTCGAACTAGCAAGTTGATGATGTGGGCACTAAGTACTTGCTAAATAAACAAGGCTTTAGAGTTAGTAGTCTTCCGGTCCCTCTATCTGGAATAATGTACTTGTTTACTTACTATTCCATCCTTTCCCAATTATTGCAGCTTCAGAATGGAAGGACAGGGACGGATGTTGAGATTGGAGCCAATAGTTTGGCTGGCAGGGGCAAGTCAGAATTGATTTATGCCAGCAATCTTCTTTATTTACTCAAGTCGTCTTTAAGAGGTGAGCTCTTGTAGGTTGAGTTATGATGATTTGTGAGTATGGTTGACTTAAGTTCTAGTCCTTACGATGTTCCTGTCATTTTTTGTTATTCTCAACAGTTGGCTAACTGCTTCTTCATTTCCATTTATATTGAAGCTGGATCCCTTTAGTATACTATTCTTTCAGTAACACCTCCTTTCCATTTAATGTGATATTTTATTTGCCATAAAACACTTTGAGATGTTGAGGTCATGTCATAGTATTAGAGAGCTCTGGATGTGATTTTGAGGATGTGAATATCCTTCGTTTTCCTTTTCCAACATTTGGGCGAAGTGTTGAAAGTCTTCTGATTATAGCTGCTTGTCAATTCATGCGCAGTGGTTTGGCGGTTTGTTAAGCTGCAAATTAGGCGCTACTAATTGTGGTCTCTGGAACAGTTGACAGTCACTTAGGTGGTAATGAAAGTGACAGAATATTAAATTCGCGGAAACAAATAAATAGAATACAAGTGGTGAAAGCACAAACACGTTTAAGAAAGAGGGAAATGGCACTTTCTCTGATTAATTACTAGGATCAATACCCGCGGCTACGCCGCGTGAACTAAAGTTGCAGCAGAATAATCATTTCGTGGGAAGCTTAGGAGACAACAAATTTGCAGCAACATAAAATTCGAGTTTTACAATCTCCTAATTCAACCTTTGGATTCTTCACCTTTTCATTCTTTGGTTGTCATTCCATAAGCAATCTTCACCTTCCAGCTAACCCCTTTGGCTTGCATAATCGCATCAACTCGTAATGTTCCTCTCCATCTGAGATTATCACCACCAACTTTGTCCCCTTGCTGCTGTTGCTGACTTGCTACTCCTACTATTCGTTGTCAAATGTGAAGGAGGTGGTGCACCGCCACAATACATTGGCTGCATAACGTACAAACCATCATCATGCGAATAAAAATCAGGAATGGTTTCTCAATACATAAGTAATTATAATATGAAATATGTTATTTAGGTTAACTGGAACCATGTATTATACAGGAAGCTAATTCAGGATCTAGTATAACAATTAGACTAATAGTGACAGCTCAACCAGCTAATGGATGAAACATTATTGAAAGAAAATATCAAGGAGAGACGGCAAAAACTCAGACTGCGCAGAATAGACAAAACAAATTGTATTGTTCTCAAGTCCCAATTTGGTTGGTACTCGGAAACCATCTTCGTGATTTGTCCATGAGTGTCAAAAAGGATCTTCAACCAATCGTGTGTTGCATCTTTTGATAAAATTTTCACATATAAGGCTTCAAGTCGAGTACAAACAAATAGGACCTCATTGATTCAGAAGTAGCAGCGAAATAAGTGCCGGAGCTAATTACTATAACGTATAAGAGGTTCTCAATCCAAGTACACATTAAAAATAGTCCAGGATTGGTAACGGTAAAGTTACTTATGTAAAAATGCCATGTCAAACAAACAATTATGTAAAAATCACTTTTGTAATATGCTTATTTGAGCTTTGCTCTTGCCTCAAAGAAAATGAAAAGCAGCAAGATTTTTTACCTTCTCTTGTGGTCAGATATTGCATTATGCAGCTGGATTTCTGTTTGTCCGAAAGCAACAGGCCGCAGTTACTCAGAAACCAGATGATTTGTTACTGGTCTTTGTAGAAGGGCCAACTCCTCCATCATGAACCAAACACATCTTGGGAATTGTAAACTTTAACTGACTATGTAAAATAGTGCGGAAACGAAGTAGATGACGATTTACGTGGTTTCCCCGAAGATCGGGACTAGTCCACGGAGAGCTAGGGCTCTCAGAGAGTTTTCACTATATCGCAGTATTGATGAGCTGCGTTCGTGAGGTTACAGAAGAGAGGCAGCCGAGTCTTATACCTTCTACATGTAACTAGGTATAGACAACGTATTTACACAGTAGTACACAAGAAACGTAAACAGTACAAATCAGTCCAATACGCCCCCTCAAGCTGAAGCATGGAGATCACGAATGCCAAGCTTGGACAAAAGATGATGAAACTGGTCTGCACCAAGTGCTTTGGTAAAGAGATCTGCAACCTGTTGAGCAGTGCCAATCTTCTGTGGAAGAATCTCACATGAGGTAACTCGCTCACGAACAAAGTGACAGTCCATTTCCACGTGTTTAGTACGCTCGTGGAAGACAGGATTAGCGGCAATATGTAAAGCTGCCTGATTATCACAGTAAAGGGGTGTGGGCCCAGACTGAGGAACAAGAAGCTCACGGAGTAAGAACCGAAGCCAGAGGACCTCACTGGTAGCACTAGCCATGGCCCTATACTCTGCTTCGGCGGAAGACCGAGAGACTACGCGCTGCTTTTTGGCACGCCATGAAATGGGAGCACCGCCGAGCTGAATGAAATACCCTGTAGTAGATCGCCGCGTCAACTGACAACCTGCCCAATCCGCATCACAGTGTGCGACGAGCTCTAAGGACCCAGTGGAAGGCATGAAAAGTCCCTGCCCCGGGGCATTCTTGAGATATCGCAACACTCTATGAGACGCGGCCACATGAGCAGGGCTTGGAGCGTGAACAAACTGGCTCAATATATTGACAGAGTAGGCTATATCAGGACGAGTGATGGTGAGGTAGAGTAAGCGACCCACTAGCCGACGATAGGAGCTAACATCATCAGTACGGTCATCAGTAGGTCGGGTGAGGGTGTGGTTCTGTTCCATAGGAAAACCACAAGGACGAGCCGCCCCCATACCAGAATCCATCAAAATGTCTAAAGTGTACTTACGCTGACTGAGAACGATGCCATCAGGGGAGCGAGCAACTTCAATACCCAAAAAATACTTAAGCACACCCAGATCCTTGATGCTGAATTTATGGTGAAGAAACTCCTTAACGCGAGAAATAACTGCTGGGTTATCACCGGTCAAGACGACATCATCCACATAAATGAGTACTACAACAAAGGCATCGGGCGTGTGATATATGAAGAGAGAATGGTCGGCTCGTGACATCGTGAAACCGAAGTCCAGAAGGGCAGTGGCAAACTTTGCATACCAGTTCCGTGATGCCTGACGAAGTCCATATAGAGATTTCCGAAGACGACAAACCCGATTATCACCATCCTGTGCGAAACCCGGGGGAACACGCATATAAACCTCCTCATCGAGGTCGCCATGGAGGAAAGCGTTGTTCACATCCAGCTGATGAAGAGACCAGTTTCGCTGGGCCGCAACGGCAATAAGAACACGGACAGTGACCAACTTCGCAACCGGAGCATATGTATCATGAAAGTCAATCCCTTCCAGCTGAGTGAAGCCTTTCTCAACTAACCGAGCTTTGAAACGCTCAATTGCACCATCCGGGAGGTACTTTATCTTGTACACCCACTTGCAGTCGATGAGACGCTTGCCTGGGGGCAAGAGCTCTAGAGTCCAAGTCCCGTTTGCGATAAGAGCCTCAATCTCCTTCTTCATGGCTGCCCGCCAACACTCGTATTGAACAGCCTCCGAGAAGTGACGAGGCTCAACAATTTTGGTGATAGAAGCCAAGAAAGCACAATGCTCGGGTGAGAAACGATGATAACTGACATGGTTCGACATTGGAAACTGAACATGATGTGAAGAGGAACTAGGATACGTTACCTCGTAGATGTCCAACTTGGAGGGAGGGCGCCGATCACGAAGCCCACGTCGCGGGGCATCTGGGGCAGCATTGCCATGGCCTGTAGCTGGGGCAGGCAGATCCATCTCGCCATCAGGATGGGCGAGATGAGGACTGGCATCATGTGTGGGCGACGACAAATGATCCAAGGAGGGAGATAATGCACTTGGAGAAGCTAGATCACGTGGCGAACTAGTAGCAGGAGTGGTGTCCTGTCCTACAAAATCAAATGACTCATTATCACCTTCAGGAGAAGTGTCCACGTAAGGGGTAGCACCACTAGGAGGATTCTCGTTATCCACATCACCATGCACAAATGGAAAATCAAAATGCATGGGGGAATTGATGGACGTAGGAACAACAGTGGTGTCAGGGGAACGAGAAGAACTAGCCGCCATGCGGAATGGAAATACGTCTTCCTGAAACTTCACATCACGTGAGGTATAAATTTTCTTCGCCTGAAGATCATAAATTCGATACCCCTTTTGCGAGCCAGGATAACCAACAAAAACACCAGCGCGCCCCCTTGCTGCAAACTTATCCAATCCGTGATGGGTATCTTTGGCATAAACGAGACAACCAAAACTCCGTAGATGATCATAGGAAGGAGCCCGACCCAGGAGAATTTCAAAAGGAGTCCTCTGGGAAACAGGAACAGAAGGCAAACGATTTATGAGGTAGGCCACAGTGAGCACGCACTCTCCCCAAAACCGAATAGGAAGGCCAGCATGAAACATGAGCGCTCGAGCTGTATCTAACAGATGGCGATGTTTACGTTCTACCACGCCGTTCTGTTGAGGAGGATCGGTGCAGGTGGTTTGAAGAATAATCCCATGTTCTTCGTAATAACTACGAAGTGAGGTAGTTTGGAACTCCAACCCATTATCTGCCTGAATACGTCGAATATGCTTTCCATACTGAGTCGAAGCCAAAGCACAGAAGAGACGAATATATCTCTCAGTATCTGACTTAAATTTCATCAAATATATCCAAGTGCCGCGACTATAATCGTCAACAACTGTGAGAAAATAATGTGACCCATCCATCGCAGGAGTACGATATGGCCCCCATATATCAACGTGAATGAGGTCAAAGCAACTGCTAGTCTTGATAGAACTCAAAGAAAAGGCATTTCGTGTTTGTTTAGCACGAGAACAAGGATCACAATGTAAAGTACTCCGAGAATCCACATTACATCCCACAAGATCCTTTAACAAAACCAACTTGTCTAAAGAGGGATGGCCAAGCCGAATGTGCCATAAATCCCTAGATAACAACCGACGATCAGCCTGACAAGCTTGAGGAGGAACAGTAGAGGATCCGTCCTTCTCGTCAACGCGCCGTAGGTAATAAAGTCCATCGCGGAGTCTACCGAT